TTTTTTGCTTTGTTTTTTTTTTTTTTTTTTTTTTTTTTTTTTTTTTTTTTTTTTTTGATTTTTTTTTTACAAAAAAGTTATTACGTTGGATTGTCTTAAGTTGGATGCAAAGTACAGCGATAAGGTTACCAGTGTCTCGAAACGCAGGGTTTTTCAAAATGACTGTAAGCATAAGGTCAATCAAACATGACTATTAATAACGCATCAACCAGCGTCATGTTGAATTCATTCCTCTCGTTGTTTCAGCTTTAGAACCTGACTGTTGATCATTTGGGGACAAACAACAACAAGAAATTAAGATCTGAAAATAATTCTCCTGAGTCTTTATATTGTAACGCTAAAATGTTCAATACCCAAAAGACAATACTAGTATCTTCCTGGAACGTATGTCACCTGAGTTGGTTAAGGGGGATTTCAGAGGCAAGGGTCGGGGGGGGGGGGGGTTACCTTGAAACCCCTGGCCAAGTAGTTCAATTTCCCGATTTTCGAGATTTTAAGTATGATATATAAGCTTATAAAAAGCCTAAGTGCGACCCTCCCCCTACACACACACATGCAACTTATTTTTATACCTCATTATAATTATTCTATACAACGCGTTATCTGATTGGTTCTAAATTGTCCCGTAGCGGGCCATAAAACTTCATATTTCCCTGTCATCGTCATGCTTTTCATCATATTTAACCTCCTAGGAAAACCAAGTGTATTTTCTCACAATACTTATAAATCGTTCGTTGACGAAACTCCCGAAAACAGCAGACATCTTAAAATAGTAGCATTGAATGCAATGACAAAATTGGCGGTCTTCTTCAATAAGAATACTTCTATTAAAAAAAAAAAAAAAAAAAAAAAAAAAAAAGCAAAGAAATCTTAATGCGAAGTGTCCAAGGGACTTCGGTTAAGTGTTCCAGTAACTTTTTGAAATTTTGTGTTTATTTTTAAAGGCCTTGCTTGTTTCGGTATATTAAGAATCTATTGCATGAATGTTAAGGAAACATGAAGATTTATTCAACCAAAAAAATTCGTCTAATTTTTCTTCGCTGAATAAATCTTCATATTTTCCTCACGTCATGCAATAATTGTATAGTATCAAATTGTATACATGTATATCTCATAGGAAGATTTTTTTAATTATTAATATTATTTGATTTAGTAAGAATCAATGAATTTTTTGGAGAGTTTTTCCTGTCACAAAAGGGAGGGTGTAAAATAAATGACTTAGAAAAAAATTATAGATATATAAAACAAATTTTAAAGAAATATTTTCAGTATCTTAGAATTTCACAAAAATATATGAAGCTGTTCCATTCATAAGTTTTTACTATAATGAGAATCATGTTAGTCGAATATTATTTTATTAATATTCTCATCTTAACTTCTCTGAAGGAAAACGTAATAGTTATATGTAATTTCCCCATTCTTCTTTCTCCCCCTTGAATTTAACGGCATTGCTTCAGTTTTCAGGGACATAAATAACATATATACTTATGCTTCTACTGTTCTCAATTATCATTTCAATTATTTCTTAGAAGACAAAAAAAAAAAAAAAAAGTGGTGTATGTTGTTTTTTTTTTTTTTTTTTGTTTCTAGTTGATGGTATATAAATTTAATTCATTGAAAGATTATCATACTTTAAATATACTAAATATAAGTATGTACTAATTAAGCTTTTGGAGAAAGGGTGTAAGTGCTATAATATTAAAATAATTCATCTGTGCATTGAAACATCTAAACTTTCCAGCATTTTTACAGATAATAAAAAGTCGTTAATTTGAGATTTTTTTAATAACTAAAATGAATCATCTGAGTACAGTTTTCTCTTACTATGAGAAATTCTCAATTATTTTTTATCAAAATGTTTGATAAAACAATGTATTGTTTGCAGTAAAATATCGAACGAAAGACTGAAATGGGAAAAAATTTTGGCGCGTCACTGTACGTTGTCAATGTAAACAACGAGGACGTCTATATTTAGAGTTTGATGTACAACCTAGAGACGTTAGGTTTTTGCCCTAAAATTAACATAAGATGCCTTTTTATAAACTTAACAACCCAAAAACATCTCAGTTAAACCCTTTTACTACAGACCTTCAGAAATTTAGACGTTTTATGTGTACATTTGCCTGTGTTTTGCTTGTTCCCGAATTGTTGCCTGGAATGAAAACGAAAGTTAAAAAGGTGGTCGCGGATACGAATTTTTTTACAACTGAGTTATTAAAATAATGCATTTTATCATTTAGATTTCTATGAAATAATGATGTGTTCAATTGTTATTTATTTTCTACGAATATAATCAAATTACCAAGCTAATATTCCATTCCCCTCACGTCAAGATCCGTATAGCAGACGACTGATAATATCAGAATTTGTAAAAATTCAATGTGGCCACAGCCCACGGCCAGAACGAAACCTGTATAAATCAATCCCTTTTATGTTATTGTATTTCTGGTTAAAATATCTTCGTGGCCGATGCTTGTGGCCACATCGAATTTCCCAAAAACCGGGTGAAAAGTGAAGAAAATTGCTTGTTTTCCGGAAACGGCATAGGTTTGGATATTACATAGCAGCATAAGAAGCTTGGATCCGCCCAAACATTTACATATACAAGGACTTAGGATCATAAACTTTATAAATATACATGGTTAGTGAGGATACGCAAACTTTATTTTTTATGCATTTTGCAGGGCCTGTTGACATTAGCTAACGTACCTAGCTCTTTGCATGTATTGACGCCCGGCAGGACGTGTTAAATTAAAATTTTGATAATTAAAATTCATATATTTGGTAAATCTCTTTCATATCAACTAATAGTTTCAGCAGCAAAGTGTAACAAACCAAGAGGAAGAATTCATCAGTCTATAGATTCTGGTTTGAAGTTATGGTAATCAGTGGTTCAAGTCGCATAATCGTTAATTAAAAAACAAATTTATAAAAGACGATTATTTTCTCTGGATACTCATACTATAAGTAGATCTTTGGCAGATATGCATTTGAATTCAGAACAATATCATCTTTATTTATACCATTCATTATTGCAATTTTGAAGCAATTATATTTTTGCCAGTTAAGAAGGTTTTTTGATCTTCAAAGAAGGCTGTAATTGTGTGAATGTTAATTATCTAGTTATTGTTTACACTGCAGCTTGTCCCTGTGTTTGTGGGTTCTTTCCAAAACATTCAAACAGGCTTTCTTCTATGAAAAAAGTAGGGATGGCAACGAATATTCGAACATTCGAATATTCATTCGATGAGTTGATATTCGAATATGAATTTAAGATTCGAATATTCGGTGTTTTTCAGATTTCATAAAAAGAAGTACTGTGATTAATAAATTTTGATTAGAATAGTGCTGGAATTATCCCAGTTTAATTTACTAGCGATCAATTTCGATTGCCTGATTTCTTTCACTTCTTTCTTGGCTTATAAATCTACTAAATAACATGTATTTTGTTTTGAGTAAGGTGTTAAAGAATTGTACAATAATGCTTTATGTATAATACAAAACGTACTTTCATAGTTTTCATTAGTTAGATACGATCGGATCTAGAATCGAGGACAATAAATGAAATCTAAGAATATCTAAAAGGCGTGAAGAGTATACTTACCAAAATAAAATTATTTGATCATTGAATGAATGTCCGATAGAATTAATCTGTAATTAATATTGTAAAGGGCTTAATTTCAGAATAAATTGTATCAAAGATTATAATCATATCTCTTATCAGGCAGTTATTACACGTATTGAAATCTGAAAAGTATACAGTTACGACTACTGTATCTTGCCTTTTGTAAGACGACTGGTTCCTCAGTTGGAGCTACTATAAATACACGTTTTATTTGTTAAAATTATACTTTTTTACATTTAAATCAATTATTTTTTTCAAACATTGACAAACATCAAATGGAATTTCTTATTGTACACCTAAAAAAGTCTTCATACAATTTTATTTCCAATATAAGTATACCTACGCTAAACCTTTCATGAGAGTAGGATGATGCATATATAAGATAAAACAGATTTTATTTATTTTATCGAATATTCGAATATATTTGAATACTTTCATTGAATATTCGAATATGAATTATTGACAAAATTGACATCCCTAGAAAAAAGCGATCTAAAATATTCTAATAGACATACATCAAAATCTATGATTTTAAGAAAAATCTTTTAGAAAGATAGAAAATAATTTTTAATATATGTACTTATTCATTATTCGTGCTATTTGTATGACAGAAACAATCTAATTGACACAAATATCTATTTAAAAGCCTTTTGCTCGCTATTGACAGCTACCATACACCTGTGTGCTTACCACACACTTGTGTGTTTGTAAACACATTAGCTCATATTAACCTGTGTGCTTGTATACACATGTTGGCTTATACATACACAGTACGAAACTACGGGGGTCGAACACGTAATCGGAACGTAACCTACTAATTAATACCATTTCAACTATATCACTAAACTTTTAAATTACAGAAAATTATATTATTCAAAAGATTTCCCATTCCATGCTGTCTGACCCGTCATAAAAATGCTTGCATGTTGATTTAAATATCGTTAATGTTCACTGTAAGCCAAAGCGTTTTAAAGACGTTTCTTAGGAATGAGAGAAATATATTCTGATAAAAATGGATTTTACATGTAAATAATAGAAATTTTAATCGGATAAATACGGGCATCGAAAAAAACATTAGGATCAGCACATTTTTATAGGTTAGGTCGGGTTACCTGAAAACACACATTTTTTTTTTAGGCCTTATCATGACTAGAACAACTTTTTTTTTCCCTCAAATTTGGTAATGTTCTTTTTGAATCTTTATTCCTTCTTTGGTCAGTCATTCTGAATCTTAATGACATCAGTGCAATACTTACTGAGGAACTCTCAAGACTTTTGTCAACTAAACAGTGTTTTGTAATCTTTACATGTATATATATTGTATATTTCTGTTTATTCCATAATGTCATCTTGTTATGTCTTTCTTGTCCGGTAGATCTCTCACCAGTACACTTTAGTGGACGAACAAGGCCCCGCTCACAAGAAAACATTCTTTGTCCAGCTCAAACTCGGGGACATGGAGGAATACTCTGCCTCAGGAGCCAGCATAAAGAAAGCCCAGCATGCAGCAGCAGCAGAGGCCCTGGAAAAAACTGCCTACCCCCACCCCCCAGCAAAGCCGACCAAACCACATCATAATGGTAATTATATATACCTACCCCCACCCTCCAGCAAAGCCGACCAAACCACATCATAATGGTAATTATATATATACCTACCCCCACCCTCCAGCAAAGCCGACCAAACCACATCATAATGGTAATTATAGATATTTACCCCCACCCCCAGCAAAGCAGACCAAACCTAACTATAATGGTAAGTACTTGAATAGCTACCTCCACCCTCCAGCAAAACCGACCAAACCAAATCATAATGGTAAGTATTTTTACCTACCTCCATCTTCCAGCAAAACTGACCAAACCAAATCATAATGGTCAGTATCCATACCCCCCATCCCCCACCCTCCAGCAAAACCGACCAAACCACATCATAATGGTAAGTATCTACCCCCACCCTCCAGCAAAGCTGATCAAACCTAATCACAATGGTCAGTGCCCATACCTTCCCCCCTCTCCCTTCCTAACTCCTTCACTCCCCCCAGCAAAGTAAACCAAACCAAATCCCAATAGTTAGTATCTGTACCTACCCCCACACCTTCCCTCGTCCTCTCCCCTTACCCCCCACCCCACCCAATAAATGTACAGTAACCAGGCAATCTGTTAATAGTAGAACTGTATTCTAACTAATCATTTGTTTACAGGTTGGATGACTGAGTATGGTAATCAGCCCATCACTCCTACTGTAGAACTGAATGCCCTGGCCATGAAGCGGGGAGAACAAACCCTCTACAAACCACTGGAGCCCCAAAGACAGCTCCCCTACTACCAGTGTCCCCCAAACTACAACTACAGGGGGCTCTATAATCAGAGGTTTGATCTTACACTTGTGTTTACTTAAAAAAATGCACCAGGTCAAAGGCAAATTCCTCCAAAATAATCTGAAAAAAATATTACCATCCTGTAAGCAAACAGATTTATTGGCAAGTAAATACAGTATCTTATATCAAAAACAAGATAATTATTGAATTTTTAATAAGTAAGGTTGATTAGGAAATTATTTGTCACTCTTTGATATATACAAATTGAGTTGAAAACAAAGGCTATAACTTTTTAAGATACTGTACCGATAGTTATCTGTAGAAGCAGATGATGAAAAAAGAGTTTTGATGAATGAAATAGTTATATATTAATTTAAAATATTTGTGATATGTGCCAGGTATAAAAACAATCTTGTTAAACTGCTGCATCCAAACAGTCAGTTCATGATTTATCTTATTTAAAAAACATAGAGTTATCTCCCTTTCCCTAGATACCACTACCCAAGAATGATGCGCGTCTTCTACGTGTCCCTGAAGGTTGGACAGAGAGAGTTCATCGGTGAAGGCCCGACACGCCAGGATGCTCGGCATGACTCAGCTAAAAAGGCCCTCCACATCCTACGCAAACTTCCTTTACCCAACGAAGGAGAGAAGAAACCTGACAATTTGGTGGAAACTGATGGTACACCAAGTATGATCAGCTTATTACAAATTACTTACTAACATCATATACATTGTGTATTGTACTGTCTTTACCTGTCTTAGAGACAAATGTAATCAAAATTCTTGCATTTATTTAATTGTTCCTGTTAAAAATCAAACTGAATCATCCAAAAAAAAAAAATGAAGAAATGTCTTTGTTTCTTTAGACTTTTGAAAAAAAAGTTGAATTTTATGAATATTTTTTGGCAGTGTAGTAGTATCACATCCATTTAAGAGAATGCTCTATAATGATGAAGTATTAATTAATTGTTTAATTGCTCTATAGGTGATAAAGATATTGTGAAATCAGAGATCAGCCTTGTACATGAAGTAGCTCTGAAGAGGAACATGACTGTTAGTTTTGATGTAAGTGATTCAGCCATTGAACAGAGTTGTAAAAATTCTCTGTAGGGTTCTGTATAGTAAACATTACAAGTAAAGGATTTACAGGAATGTGTGGCAGGTTTTAACGTGGTACCAAAGAATTTCAAAAGGTTAGAGAATAAAATTTCAAGTGGAAGACACATTCATGTTTTCATTTTTCAAAAAATAACAGAATCGAGAAACATTTTCCTGTCAATAAAAAATTTGAGTCCAGATGAGGGTCCCAGTCAAATAAATATGTTCTTTTTAAGTTTATCAGTGAGTTGTATCCCCTCAAATTTATACTTTCTTCTTGAGGTTTACAATGAGTTGGGCCCCCTTCATATCACTGTATTTTCTATTTTAGGTTATCCGTGAGTCAGGTCCCCCTCATATGAAGACGTTTGTGACCCGCTGTAAGGTGGGGGACATGGAGACAGAAGCCGAGGGGAACAGTAAGAAGGTGTCCAAAAAGAAGGCGGCAGATCTGATACTGGAGAAACTGAAGGAGCTCCCACCCCTCCCTCCATCAGTGATCCGCCCCCGAGCCAAGATCAACAAGAAAAAGAACAAAAACATCATCAAAGTTAGTCCAGTCATAAAAAACCTTTATGGTTTACTGCTTATATCTCTGTATTTTCATATGTTACTTAAATGTATAATAGATGTCTGGTGCTAAATGTATAATTGGTGTCTGGTGCTAAAAGAATTGTATTGATCCATACATGATCATGTTGTGTGTGGAACAACCTTACTTGCATCAGACACAGAGTCATTAGACAAAAAAAATGTCCACTGAAAACAGGCATGTTGAACAAAACTGAATTAAAAACACTGGCCATGGGCCCCATTAGACAGTTGGATGATTAAAAGAGTTAAAATACAGTGAAAAAATGATCGGATAGAATTCAAACTAGTGCCTCAGAGGGAGTGGCTACTGGTTTCAGGTGGCCATAATGGCGGATGTGACTGTATCTTACTAATGATAAACAATCTGTCAGACTTGTTTTCACTTCCTACAATATTAAAACTTCAGTTTAATGCATTTAATATGCTCAAGTGAACTAATGTATAAGTGAAAAATTTACATTAAAATTTACTGATTACAAGTATGTTGGAACAGCAAAAGATAAAAAAAATTGTAAAAGTTTGAAATGGATGAAGAATGTACAATTTAAACTGGTTAATGAAGTATTTATGTCTTTGTTTTAAAGCAACAAATGCAGAAGGCAGATCCTAATTACGGAGTGGGGATCAACCCAATCAGTCGTCTAATTCAGATTCAGCAAGCACAGCAGAAAAAGGAACCAGTTTACACATTACTAACGGAAAGGGGACTTCCTAGAAGACGAGAGTTTGTCATCCAGGTAAAACATGAGTAATGGCTGAAGTGAAATCTATGTGTCATTGATTTACTGTCATGCAGGTACACAATTAATGTAAAAAAAACAACACACAATTGATTTAAAAAATTGGGAAATAAAATTTGTGAAGTTGGAAGCAAGGAAACACTTGTACTTAAATTAGATGGTTAGATTCAGTATTTTGTGAGGTATAGAATGATTGTTTTCGTACCCATTGCTAAATAGATTGAGAGGATCTTGTTTACAGTAACAGTACATGTATGTAGTAAAAACAATGTCCATTAGTTTACTGTTTGGGAATATAAGAAGCTCAAGTATACTTTGCATAAGGATTGCTCAAGACCAGAGGGTACTTAAACCCTGAACCAAGGTCATTTGGAATATGTCATTTTTACAGAGTAATGAAGTGTAAAGGTCATTTAATTTGTAAAGAAGGAAATTAGAAACCCATACTTGGCTTAAAAGTTATTATGACTATAATCTGTGTGTTGACCCTGAACCAGTCAGTTGGTCATTTATCAAGGTCAATGTTACTTGTTTCCATGGTGTCATGGGCATAACTCTATAATACAGGCATGGTAAAACAGTTTTGTTGCTCTTAATGAGGATGTGTCATGACCGAAGCAAAGGTCATTAGAACCATGTCACAGGATTTCTTGTCCAAGTCATAGCAGTGTTATTCAGAGTTTGCACAAGCTAGACTCAGAGGTTTTTATTGGATCAAAGGATATACCATGATTGTATATTAAATACACTTACAGAAGTTCAAGACTTCATATAGTGGAAGTGGAGCAAGGGCCACTTAGGGCCTTTATTAGCCCTGTGAATTTCTGAAAAATTGGAACTGCTTACTTTTGGTTGACAATGCAGTATTATCACTTGGACCCTTGGTGACCACGTATCTATTGAACATGACGTAATTTTCTCTCTAGTCAATGCATTATGACGTCATGAAATGCATCATTTTTCCCATATCCTGTAAATTTAAAAAATAGCCAAAAGTTGAAGTATTTTTTTCAATATTTTATATAGAGCACAACCTCTTATCAATTAGATAATGAAAGATCTGTTTCTGAAGATCATAAAACATGTTAAAGTTTTTGGATTGAGGGCTTTGCTCATATTTTAATTCTTTGCTGAAGGTACTCAAATAGGCCTGTTTTCGGGTACGTCTTTTTACCACAAGGAACCACAAGGTACCACAAGGAACCACAAGGATACCACAAGGAACCCCTAGGTCACCATATACAACCTTAATTATTCTAAATATGGTTTATATAAAACCAACACAAATGACATTTACAAATTTATTCAAATTGCCTTTTGGTAACTACTCAGCTATTATAAAATTGCAACAAACTATAATGAAAAATTACACACGCAAACAATGTATTTACAGTACTCTAGATATTTACACTAATTATCAGGCAACGTGCCTGATACAACCAGGCATTGTTAATGAGTAAATGCAATGTGTATTAGGCCGATGGCCGAATATGGTAGCTGATGGCTTGTATGTGTGGTGGGCTGCAGGCCCCCATGTATGTGAGGCCGATGGCCTAGTGACAGTGTGAGGCCGATGGCCATGAGTGAGTTAGGCCGATGGCCTTGCATGCATGTAAATGGCCGATGGCCTTGAGACAGTGAAATGAATGCAGCCGATGGCCTGTGTGCGTGTGTAAAAGTGGATCTAACATGGATTTACAATAAACAAAATTTCTTTTGGGGTTAAATAACACACTTGACCAAGTGTGAAATGCCCAAATGAAGTTATTATAATGTCAATATAATAGCTGAGAGCCCCAAAAGGAATTATCAAACACCACCACTCTTGATCTGATATCAAAAATTATAAAATCCAATGAACATAGATACAAAGCAAATTCATCTTCTTGAATTCCAACTTAACCCGTATTATGAACATGAGATAAAATAAAATGTAAAGTTACATTCACTTATAAAACTACATATGTACATAACTGTTCATTGTTTAACAATCCGCTCCAAATTTGTGAAAACAAACCAAATACACAACATGATGTGAACATAAAATGTTAAATTGCATGCTTAACTGATCTATTACATTTACATACACAACTGCCTTAAACATACAGCTAGTCTTTTTTACACAGTTTTTTGACAACACATTGCCTTTTGTGCACGTGACAAAGTTTGATCATCGGAACGAATGTACCTGGTGTAACAGTCTGAGCTCCATCTACCCAAGGTTTTGATCAAGTGGTCTTCTACTTGGCCACCGGCAGCAGAGGTAGCAGCTCCTATTCTGAAAGAGTGGCCATTGAAATTCTCGTCATCCAAACCCAGCAATTTGAGTATCTGCTTTAGTTTGGTAATGAAAAAGTGACTTGATAATGGATTTCCACTTTCATCCGTAAATAAGGCTGAAGACATGACACAGTTGTACCACTTTCTTCGAAGGTTTAAATATTTTAACATGGATTTCACTGGACACACGGTTTGGTCTGACTGAAATAAATGGATCTGAATTCCTGTACGAAAAGGGTCTGTTTTAGATCGTTTAAGCGTGATAGTATAAGCTTTGTAGTTTCGATCCATGACGACATCTTCCACACACAATAGGTTGTCTTGATTTATATCGTTCACAGTGAATTCCCCGCATCGAAGGAATGCGAAAAATGCTAGAGAACAAGCAGCTTGCAGCATGGTATCTAGGAAATAACCGAACATACCCCGCTGTAAGACATTTTGAATTTGGATCAAAACACTGTATGTAATGGGCCTCCTTTTCTGTTTAGAACTTTGTTGTTTTTGAATTCCCCTCAACACTGTTTGCAACCTTGCACACGATTCATCTGATGATAGAGGATTAGAAATACCAGCCTTCACATAATGGAATCTCACAGCTGCAAGATACAATTTGATGGTATTGTACGTTAGTTTTAGGGAATTGCAGCAATGTGTAACAAAGTAAATAAGGGTTTGTTCTGAGATCTTTGGTGGATTATAATTAGGCGCTTCTATTCCAATCGATGAAAGGAACTGGCAATATACTGTAAATCCTGTCCTGTATGCCCTCCTTGTATTGTCGCTGATTGAAGATTCGCATAAGTCCCTAGACTCTTTCTCTAATACAGGATTAATTCTTTCAAGGATGGTACTGGTACTGGCATTGCTGCTGCTGCTGGAGCTACTTCTCTGAATTTTGTCATCTGGAAACGAGAAAGAGAGTCAGCAATAATGTTTATCTTTCCTGGAACATGATCACATAATACAAGGAAATTATTATTAGCTGATATCCAAGTTAGTTTTCTTAGTAGCTTCATAATCATAGAGGATTTTGATCTGCGTTTTTTAATTATCTGAACAGTGGCCAGATTATCACACCAAAATTTAATTCTCTTTCCTGACCATTTATGCCCCCATATCACAGCGGCAACAACTATGGGATACAATTCTAACAATGCCATAGATAATGTGTCATCGCCGAGGTCTTGAATTTCTGGAGGCCATTTTCCTTGGAACCATTCTCCGTAATAGTAACCCCCGTAACCAATGGTAGAAGAAGCATCTGTATACAAGGATATGTCTGAGGCACAAGTCACATTTTCCTCCAGAAAGAACGAATGTCCATTCCACTGCTTTAGAAATGTTTCCCACATAGCCAAGTCCATTCTGCATTCTTTAGTTAAATTTACGTGATGATGTAATTTAGTAACTGAATGGGCCAGAGTTAAAAGATATGAAATAAATGATCTGCCTGCTGGAATAATTCGTGCTGCGAAATTGAAATGCCCTAATATGCTGAGTAGTTCTCTTTTTGTGCAGGAACGTTTTGACTTTAAATTGCCAATGAGAAAAAATATGCGCTCTATTTTTTTCTGGTGGGATTCGTGCTTCCATTTTAACAGAGTCCAACATAATTCCCAAGTATTCCATTTCTGTACAAGGTCCTTTTGTTTTCTTCTCCGAAATGGGAATTCCTAAATTGCCAAACACCATTGTTAGTATTGCCATACTTCTGAATCCTTCTTCCTCTGTAGGATCCAATGTCAAGAAATCATCTAACAAATGTAACACCTGCTTGATTTTGTAATTATTGGTTAAAATCCAGCAGACAGCCTGTGAAAGCATATCAAATATTTTGGGGCTACTTCTGCACCCAAACACTAAGCGTTTATAAAAGTAATATTTGTTTCTCCATTTTATACCATAAAAAGGTTGCACTGTTTTTGACAAAGGTAATACCTTGAATGCGTCAACAATGTCAGTCTTGCACATCAATGAATTAACACCTAATGATTTCAAAATACTTATGGCATCATCAATACGCACATACTGTAACGAGTAATCTTCCTTATCGATGAGGCTATTGATGCTAACTTCGGATGCCGAGTCATGAGGGGATGAGAGGTCTACTATCAATCTGTATTTCTTTGAGTATTTTCCTTCGGCAACACCAATAGGGCTAATACGATAGACTTCAAATGGTGGTTCGTCATATGATCCATCTACATAACCTTTGTCAATTTCATACTTGAGTAAAGTGTCTACTACTTCAGGTTTCTTCCTAGCTGTACTTAAATTTTTGCATTCAAATGAAGTCAATGGCAGCTTAGAAATTCCTGTATCAAATCCATTCTCCAATCCATTAATGAAAGTATCTACAAAGTCTTTGTCTGGATGATGGTGTAATTCTGACTTAAATGCTTCGATGTTGATCGTAGTTAAAATTTCTTGTTTTTCGGAATCTGACTGTAAGGTAAAATCAGGTAGTCATTGCTTCTCACTTTGGTTGCCCTCCTTTTGTTTCGTGGTTGTTTTACATTGCGTGGAAGTATGTTTTCCCATCTTACAAGTTGAACATATATGTACCAAGTTACACGATGGTCTGTTGCATCCTGTCTCGCTGTTAAAATTGTTACAGATTTCTCTGCCCCTATGCGTGATTCTGGGCCTTCCTTGCACATCCAGTTGGTTTTGTTGTCCTCTGTTCCTGTTTTGTCCTGGAAGTGAACTATTTGAAACTGCACTGAATTTTGCTCTTGGGCAGAAATGTGAAGTGTGTGTAGTACTGTTGCAATTCTCACATCTTATTACCGTCTGGCCAGCAAAAATAGTGGTAAACAGTTTCGTGTCCCTAATTGACCAGTCAACTCTGATATTTCTTTGATGAAGAAGGGCACTGGCTCTCGCTGAAAAGGCCTTGTGATATTCATAAAATGCAGAACCACGTGTCATGGACGCCATCTCCACGATATCACGTTCATATGCATCCAATTCTATCCTTCTTTCCGGATATATTTCACTTTTGAATTTTGAGAATGCCAGTATAAACTCGCTTATGGTTAAGTTTCTTTGTAATCTGGCATCAGTATTTTGTTTCAGTAAGATATAACGGCCTTCCGTATCTTGAATTTTGTGTTCCTCATTTTCACGAGGCAGAAGTAAAGCGGCAAGATTGACATCCTTACCTTGTATAATGTTGTTCCTGAGGTTTGTGGACACAGTCTCGACATACGGGACCGAATCCGATGGAACACGAGAGCCCGATGGTAAATTAACACGGTCCGGTTCCGATGTCGGTGTACTCTGGTTAGGATTTTGCTGTTGTAACTTGCTGACAACATTTGTAAGTGACAGAAGAGATTGTTGTATTGTATCAATTGCTTGGCTCAGCGAGTCTATTTTGGTTTCATTTGTTGACTTCCGCCCAGCCTCGTTATGAATTGCTCTCTCCGAAGATGCCGGAAGTTCATGAACTTCATCGCCATTTTGATTCTCACTAATGTCAATTGTTCTTTCGTCTGACAGAGAACTGCTAAGCTCTTACGACTGTTTTGTACATTGTCTTTATAAATTTGAAGTAATTGAGATTTCTTTAAAGTAGACGGCACTACTATATTTGAGTCTTTCAGTTTTTGTATTAAGTCTGATGACGACCAATTTTCGGGTATATTAGTGTCCCATCTAGATGTGCTTTGATTTTCACTGCGAGTACGCACATTCCTACCTGGAATCTCACTTGTCTTTCTTTTCCTTCCCGTCATTTTTATTTTCTATAATCACAATAATAAGAGCCTCGGGCTAAAGTTCAAGTCATTCGGCCATAACATGTAAACATTGAAACGAAACAAACACACGTGTATCCTGGATCGGTAGTCACATACTGTATATGCATTTACCACTTGTAAATAGTCCACATATTATGAATACGCTACAAAAATCCAAGTTGGCTAGGAGACGAAAATATTCCAAAGGAATCTAGAGAAAATCTTTGAGATGTAACTCTACAGTTGCAGGAACTAGACAAGATGCTAAGAATCTGATTGGCTTATAGAATCACGTGATAACAAGCATGTTGAAATATGATACAATCTACAAGATTTTATATAAACAATATTTAATAAATTAAATAACATTTTATAAGCACTTGTAAACTACAAAAAAAAGTTTTGAAAGGCAAATTAACACTTTAATTGTCTTAAATAGGTACAGTATAGCGCTATTAACCAAGGTAAAAATCTAAATTAAATTCACTAATTTCAGCTAAATTATGCATGCATAGTTCAGAGGCAGAGATTGTATTTTTATGATGTATAAAAAGTTAATGGTTTATTGTGTATTTCAATACACAAACCATAAGTAAATACCCAAGAAGAACCCTAATGTCATGTCCCCTGTACAATGTCATGTCCCCTGTACCACTAGGATAGGCCAAGGTACCTACAAAATGACACTTAAATGCCACTTAATTCAACTTTTAAAAAATCTAATCATAGTTTAAATGCATTTGTTTACAAGTGCATATAAACCATATTTAGAATAATTAAGGATGTAAATGGTGTCCCTGGGGTACCTTGTGGTATCCCTGGGGTTCCTTGTGGTTCCTTGTGGTATCCTTGTGGTTCCTTGTGGTACCTAGTGGTTCCTTGTGGTAAAAAGACGCACCCCCTGTTTTCTGCAAAACTCGAGAACATTGCATTTTCACATAGTCTGTTTTCCAATATCTGGATTCTCAAAAAGAAATTTTGTTATAGGAAATGAAAACACTAAATCTCTACTTTATTTTGATATATGAAATGGGACACAGGTTGATAGTCAATTAATTGATATAAGGACAGGGCCATATTCTGCATGAAGTGAACCTAGCTCTTTACAGAGTTTTTGTGTCAAATAAATACAAGCTCTGTTAGGAAAATTTTAGATAATTCTGCTCTGTAGGTACAAGTTGATGAGCAGACCTGTACAGGAGTGGGTCCCAATAAGAAGCTGGCCAAACGACATGCTGCTGAAGCCATGTTGACTCTGCTTGGATACAACAAACCTTCCCCACAGCCAGCAAAACCCGCCATAAAATCTGCCAACAACCAGGAGGTAATAATAACTGACCGGAGTAATAACTGACCGGAGTAATAACTGACCAGAGTAATAACTGACCGGAGTAATTACTGATCAGAGTAGTAACTGACCAAAGTGATAACTGACCGGAGTAATAACTGACCAGAGTAATAACTGACCAGAGTAATAACTGACCAGAGAAATAACTGACCGGAGTAATAACTGACCAGAGTAATAACAGATTAATAACTGGCCAGAATAATAACTGACCGGATTGATAACTGACCAGAGTAATAACTGACCAGAGGAATAACTGACCAAGGTAATAACTGACAGCGCCCCAGAAACATGAAACAGCTTAGGCCTAGTTCAAAATCTGTATATTGCTCTGAAATACAGAAAAATGTGGTAAAAGGGAACTTGTTTACAAATATCTGTTGTAAGGAAATTTTTATGAATTCTGTAGAAGACTTTTACTATGTTTTCTATATGGATATAAAGTATCTCGGGAAGCAGAATACAAAGTCCCAGTTACTCCCTTATAACTAAGTTTTACTGTAGTATAGAGGTCAAATGGTCAAAAATATAAATGTTTTGAAGATGGTATACTGGGGTGTTTTATCTGCAGATTTTGAGTTTCAGCATCCAATTAATAAGCATTTAACAGATGACTGACATTTTGATTTAAGTCCAAGTCTGTTTCATGACCCAGGACAAGATCTGTATTTTAATCTTGAGTTTATTGGACCTAGCTGGTATGTAAATCCAGGAAGTGTGGTTATCCATTTACTGTTTAAAGGAGAATTACATGAATATTATTTTTGAAAAAATACATCCCAGTAGATTGTCATGATCATTCTTCTCTCTGTTCCAGGAGACGGGAATTAAAAAAGTGACATTTCAAGAGATGTCCGAGGATGGTGGTAAGTTTCTAATTATTTATAGCTGCTGTGTGCATCTTTCTTACATTCCACTTTCTTGGTAATTAGTCTACAACTAAGTGAGAATATCTGTCAAGTCAAAGAGAAGCTGAATTGCAACTAGTGAATTTTGTTGTTTTTTTAATTAAATTTTGATATCTGTAACCAGAGATTTGTGGAATTTTATAATAAATTATGACCTTCATGATAAGAAATGGAAAAGAAAGAATGGAAACAAAAACCTAATGGAAAAAAAAAAGATGAGTGTGTGAAACACTGATGCCCCATATGGGTACAGCCCACTAATTGTTTTCCCATAGGTGGCAATGTTAACGTTTCTTCACATAGCAATGTCCCTAATTTTCGTTCAGCAGTGAGTGACCCCTCAAATCAAAGCACATCAAGTTGTCTTTCCTTGGTTAAAATCTCAAGGTGGCATGTCAGATTCGTGTTCCGGCAAAATGCATCTGTCTGCGTTAACCTCTGAAAATGAAAGTGAAAGTAGGGGAATTCAAGACTTCTCACTGGTGTTATAATACATAAAATAATTCTGCTGATCTTCTTGATAAATTACACCTGCCAAGCTTTTTTGCAAGGGAACATACTCCTTATCAACAAGTATGAGGCTCAGTTTAATACATTATCACAGTTTTTTTATTCAGGTCTGCAAATTAAGGAACTTGTAATTTTTTCTGCACTACTTTCTTCCCCTACTGATTCTAAAAATAATTAGAGGTATGTACCCATATGGCAGCCCATGGACAAGATGAAAGTTTTATAATGTAGATCCAAGCTCAAGGTCAAGAGGTCAAAAATGTTGGTACCCAAAGAGAGGTCTTGTCACAAGGAATAAACATATACTGTATAGGGGATTAATTTCACGGGTTGTAATTTTCACGGTTTTTTCTCCTCTGACACGATTGCGGTTTGTTGAATTCGCGGAATCGGTATATAATAAAAGTTACCTCCCTTGTCTATATCTGTTTAATCCAGAATGACATTAATCAGCGTTAAGTATTCACTCCAAAAACAACAGGGTAGGTTTATATGAAATAGTTAGATTTAATAATTAATTGACGACTAATTAAAACAAGTGTAGTAAATAAAAGTCCTTGACTATAAACGTCGAATGACTTTCTTATATACTATTACGATGAGCACATGTACACCCCAAGATCTTCTTTCTGAAGGGATAATACATCGCAGCGAAAAAACACTAGGCGGTAAGAAATGTGTTAATGTAGATCGAAGAAATAATATCCTTTCACATCTTCAGCAAGTTCAATAGTTATTTGATTGATTTTTTAAAAACAAAATGTCGATAAAAACTAATACGCATGATAATGCAGGTAACAAATACACGGAGTCACATAGTTATGCAATGGTAATCAAAATCCATGACCCACGTGTTATGATTGATGTAGCGTGGGCTATTAAAACAGCTTTTAAACAAATACGGGTTTATTATCTAGCTGCTCTAAATTAAAGTAAAGCGTGATAATTAAAATAATTGTGCGACTCATAATTACTGTAATGACCATGTAATACACGTATATATACCTATCGTAGTCTATTCTCAAATTTCCAAAATAAAACATGGAGGTTATTGAAAACTTATTCACTGTTTCTTGAATTCACGGATTTATTAACACCGTGAATATAGCGAATATTAACACCGCGAGTTATTTTCCCCCTATACAGTATATGAATATGAAAGTCGTAATACCAACCATTCAAAATTATCACTAACGCCATATCAATTTGCAATATAGTTTGTCAGATTCACCGCTTCTATTTGTAACAAATCCAAATTATGACATTATCAAAAAAATATATCCACCCGCGCATCCAAAAATATCCGAGTACATTTTTGTTTTCAACTTTTTAAACCAAAGGCACAAAAGACTTTGGAACACGTGGTTGAGGAATGACAGAAGCGTGGGATTGAGAAAGTTTGTACTTCGTAAATCATGCTATGTAACAATGTGTGAAGTTTTTCACGATGCCTGACTACTCTTTATATGTACGATACGTCAATAGTTAAAAACAGTGGATGTGAATTTTTTCCTTATACTGCAATCGAACTAGAAGCCGAGGAAACTTTTGAAGCGCTGTTCGATGTTACACGAAAGGTTTGGTGAATATTGATGATGTTTGCTCTATCAAAAAAACAAAAAAAAAATCTAAGAGTGATGTAATTGAGATTTCAAGACCAGACATGTCCCTGGGAATTTGCACAGAACTGAACAGAACGTTTGTAGAAATGAAACTAAATTGCAATGTAACACTTACTTCATTCAAAACATGACAAACAGAAAGTAGACACGTTTTCACGTTTTATGAATGCTTCCAAAAATTTTTCTCTCCCTGGAAAAAATTACAGGCAAACAAGACCAAAGAATTTATTTAATGATTTGATAGAATGGGCAACAAATTGGAGAGGAAATTCTTCAAATAGACCTAAGCAAAACACTACTTGTTACGAAGATAAAGGCTTTGAAAGTTGAAACTTTATATGCCCCCCCATGAATATGGCCGGGGCATATAGTGTTTGTCATGTCCGTCTTCCGTCCTTCCGTCCTTCCGTCTGTCCTTCCGTCACACTTTGCTTTTAGCTCTGTTCAAAGCTCAGTTTCAAAGAAACTATCCAAGATATTTTTATCAAACTTCATATGCTGATAGATATTGATGAGGGCTATGCAACTGCATCAACATTTTTTGACCTTGACCTTTCCTTTGACCTTGACCTCACTTTTCTTAAATTAGTGTTTAGCTCAGTTTTAAAGATACCATTCAAGATAGTGTAATCAAACTTCATATGTTGATACATACTGATGTAAGCTATTCAATTGCATCAACATTTTTTTGACCTTGACCTTTATTTTGACCTTGACTGCACTTTTCTTAAATTAATGTTTAGCTCTGTTTTAATGAAACCATTCAAAATATTTTTAACAAACTTAATATGCTGATACATACTGATGAGAGCTATTCAACTGCATCAATATTTTTTACCTTGACCTTTCCTTTGACCTTGACCTCACTTTTCTTAAATAAGTTTTTAGCTCAGTTTTAAAGATACCATTCAAGATAGTGTTATCAAACTTCATATGCTGATACATACTGATGAGAGGTATTCAACTGCATCAATATTTTTTGACCTTGACCTTTCCTTTGACCTTGACCTCACTTTTCTTAAATTAGTGTTTAGCTCAGTTTTAAAGAAACCATTCATAATATTTTCATCAAACTTCATATGCTAATACATACTGATGTAACCTTTTCAACTGCATCAACATTTTTTGACCTTGACCTTTCCTTTGACCTTGACCTCACTTTTCTTAAATTAGTGTCAAACTTCGTATGCTGATACATACTGATGAGAGCTATTCAACTGCATCAATATTTTTTGACCTTGACCTTTCCGTTGACCTTGACCTCACTTTTCTTAAATTAGTGTTTAGCTCAGTTTTAAAGAAACCATTCATAATATTTTCATCAAACTTCAAATGCTAATACATACTGATGTAACCTTTTCAACTGCATCAACGTTTTTTGACCTTGACCTTTCCTTTGATCTTGACCTCACTTTTCTTAAATTAGTGTCAAACTTCATATGCTGATACATACTGATGAGAGCTATTCAACTGCATCAGTATTTTTTGACCTTGACCTTTCCTTTGACCTTGACCTCACTTTTCTTAAATTAGTGTTTAGCTCAGTTTTAAAGAAACCATTCATAATATTTTCATCAAACTTCATATGCTAATACATACTGATGTAACCTTTTCAACTACATCAACATTTTTTGATCTTGACCTTTCCTTTGATCTTGACCTCACTTTTCTTAAATTAGTTTCTGAATCAAACGTCATATGCTGATACATACTGATGTAAGCTATTCAACTGCAGCAATATTTTTTGACCTTGACCTTTCCTTTGACCTTGACCTCACTTTTCTCAATTTGTGTTAAAATGTTGCATTACTAATATACCCTTGGCGGGGCATTCATGTCCTATGGACATATTTCTAGTTATTTATTGAAAACAATATCAAAAAAGTTCAAAATCGTAAATTCATGTGGTACACAAATGATATCTATAATTTTATGTTTTTTTTTAAGTGCTTGCTCTTTGAAATCATGCTTTATTCATTGAAAAAAATGATATTACTTGTATTCGCTCGCCTCAAAATTTTCAACTCCAAACTGAAAAATATTAGTTGTAAAATTATTTCGCCCTCTCGCCTCACTTTTTATTTTTGAAAATCCAAAGAACTATTTTACAAATTGGTGTGGCCTAAGGTTAAAATTTAGTGAAAATATTTTCAGAAATAGGACAAACTCCAAAGTCAAGGTCATAAAGTAAAAAAATGTTTGGTCCAAACAAGGTCTTGTCACAAGGAATACACAGGTGAAATATGTAAGCCCTAGCACAACAGTTCAAAAGTTATGGGCAAGGATAAAGTTTTTTTCAAAAGTAAGTCAAATTCCAAGTTCAAGAGGTCAAAAATGTTGGTACCCAAAGAAAAGTCATGTCACAAAGAATGCATTTGTGACATATGGAAGCCCTAGCACCAACTATTCAAAAGTTATGGCAAAGGTTAAAGTTTGGTAAAAAAAAAAGTGAAAGTTGGTTAAACTCCAAGGTCAAGAGGTAAAGAAAATTGGTACTTAAAGAAAGGTCTTGCTGTAAGGAATACACATGTGAAATTTAAAAGCCTTAGCACCAACCATAAAAAATTGATGGACAAGGTTAAATTTTTTGTGGGCTGACAGACAGACCAATAAACTATATGCTCCCGAATCTTTGATTATAGTGGCATAAAAACTTGATTAACATTCATTCATCTGTCAATGTGGCATGACAATATTTCAGCAACTGAGAGTGTTAGTAATGGTAAAAGTTCTGGAGGACGTCAGCTGGTTCCCGGCCTCTTACTGCTGCCCGATTCTAAATACAACGGAACAGCCTACAGACCACCTCATGGTAAGTGTGCAGTGTACATCTACATGTATCAGAGGCAGATTTATTTTGCCTCTGACTACTGTAGATTTAAATATTTTTACAGGGTATAATTTCAAAATGTTCTTGTTAAAAAGCTTTTGCTTGGGGTTATTTATGTGAAAGTTAAAGAATTAACAAAACTTTGCTGGTTAGTTGTTTAGCATGCTACCTTTTTTCATAACTGTTTATGTGGTGTTCAATTCTATGAAAATTCACTCATTGCAAAATTCGCAAAACTTTCCCCCACATGAGTATTTCCATGTTTGCAGTAAGAAAAATTGAATCCTTTCTAGGTAGAGTTTAAAATTTATTGTTGCTGGGTGTTTTTTATCATCTGAATTTGGACAGGGTAATTTTTATCTTCTGAGTTTGAAGGTATCAGGTTATAAACAGAGTGTAGAAAGTATAGGCATTAGGAATGAAATATACATGTAAAAATATTTCATGTATCCAAATACACTTGAATGTATTGAATTTGGATAAGTCTTGTTCATATATCAGGATCTGCTATATTTTTTAGCAGAGGCTGGAATGTATAAATACTGTTCAAAAGTAATAAAAAAACAAGATGTGTTTGTGAAACACTATGCACCCAGCGGCAACAAAGTTCGAAAAAGCTATTTTTAGCGTATAGGTCACAGTCAAGGTCACAAGGTCATTGACCTTGGTGTCATTTGAAAGAACTTAATTAGTGGAGTATGCATACCAAATATGAAGTCTCTATCTCCTATGGTTCAAAAGTTATGGCGAAAGTTAAAGTTGACAACAGACAGACAAACAGACAGACAGGACAAAAACAATATGCGCCCCCAATCTATCGATCCGGGCACATAAAAAGACAGAAAGTCAATGTACTAAATGTATGTTCCCTGTGTATGGTTTTAAAATTTATTTTGTCTGATTTTGTTAAGGTGGTTCACAACCTCTGGATGGACATGCTACTTTTAATAGTTTGACTAAGACTGCTACAAGACCCGAGATTCATCTCCGAGAACTGACCAGTAGGAGTAATCTGGACATCAAATTTGACGAATTTCAGTCTGGACAGGTATGTGATATCATTATTTCAGTCTGGACGGGTGTTTGATATCATTATTTCAGTCTGGACAGGTACATGATATCATTATTTCTGTCTGGACAGGTATGTGATATCAGTATTTCTGTCTGGACAGGTGCTTGATATCATTATTAGGGCCCCACTCTGCGGGCGCCCTATAGTGATCAGTCTGTCCGTCCGTCTGTCCATCCGAGATTTCTTGTCCGGAGCATATCTTCTCTCTCCTTGGCCCAATCTGGCTCATACTTTACCCACAGAATGTCTTTGGGTAAAGGGTGTGCAGTGACCTTGAACCATGTTTCTAGGTCTAAGTTCAAGGTCATAGCAGAATTATATGAAAAATCCTTGTCCGGAGCATATCTTCTCTCCTCTTGGTCCAATTTGACTCATACTTCACTCACAGAGAGCCACTGGTCAATGGATGTGCAGTGACTTTGAACAAAGTTTCTAGGTCAAGGGTCAAGGTCAAAAATAGCCTCTCTGTTTAAATTCTTGTCCGGAGCATATTTTCTCTCTCCTTGGCCCAATCTGGCTCATACTTCACCCACAGAGTGTCTTTGGGTAAAGGGTGTGCAGTGACCTTGAACCATGTTTCTAGGTCTAAGGTCAAGGTCATAGCAGAATTATATGAAAAATCCTTGTCCGGAGCATATCTTCTCTCCTTTTGGTCCAATGTGGCTCATACTTCACTCTCAGAGTGGCACTGGTCCAGGGGTGTGCAATTAGCATCACCAGACGCCGGGGGCTACCATTTTTTGGGGTCGGGCTAGTAGTTTTCTGCATGGAGGTAGCCCCTTGGGCTAGTAAAAATTAAAACTACCAATGTAATACATGAAAATCACTATCGGTATTTTTACTCATTTTTTGCTATCAAATTCTTAAGCAATGAAAAAATTTCGGCAGCATGCTCCTATTGTTCGTAAATTTCCATAGTCTTATCCATTTTGCAGTACTACCTGACTTATTTACTTCCAAAAAGGATCGTTTTTATCTAATCCGAATTTCCTCTATTCCTCTGTTTATGGTAAATACACATGCAGATATCTCATTAAATTATTTATGATCACTCAGTCAATGGAAAAATAAGTGTTATGTGGTTTACATAAAATATATTTCCAGCGTATTTAATGATTTGAGATGAAAAAAAAATGATTTTCATTTCATTTTAGATAAGATATAATTTATTTGAATTCATTTTTAGGTCACCTGAGTCACTCAGGTGACCTATTGCTATCCGTTTTCGTCCGTCGTCGTCCATCGTGCGTTGTGCGTCGTGTGTTAACATTTGAACATTTTCAGCTTCTTCTCTAAAACCGCTGAACCAATTTCAGCCAATTTTGGCATATGGCATCTATGTGTGAAGGGGAACAAAATTTGTGAATTTCATGGTCCCTGCCCCCCTGGGGCCTGAGGGGTGGGGCTAAAACCACCAAAATTAATGCAATTTTTAAAAATCTTCTTCTTTACTCCTGGACAACAAGGGGTCAAACTGTTGGCATGATTGTAATAAGCATTGAGCCCTCTACCAAAATTGTGAAATTCATGGCCCCAGGGTCAGGGGTTCTGGTGCTAGGGCGGGGCTATATAGATCATATAGTGAAAGTGCATTATTTCTTTGAAAATCTTCTTCTCTACTCCTGGGTATTATTGAAACAAATTGAATACATAGTTATGATAAGCAAGGGTGACTCTACCAAAATTGTGAAATTCATGGCCCCAGGGTCAGGGGTTCTGGTGCTAGGGCGGGGCCATATAGATCATATTGTAAAAGTGCATTATTTCTTTGAAAATCTTCTTCTCTACTCCTGGGTATTATTGAAACATATTGAATACATAGTTATGATAAGCAAGGGTGACTCTACCAAAATTGTGAAATTCATGGCCCCAGGATCAAGGGTTCTTGTGAAAAGGTGGGGGGGCTCTATTGATTTTATGGTGAGAAAGCAAAATTTCTTTGAAAATCTTCTTCTCAACTCCTGGGTATTAATTAAACAAGTTAAATACATAGTTATGATAGGCTGACTCTACCAAATTTGTGAAAATCATGGGTCAAGGGTTCTGGTAAAAAAGGGGGGGGGGCTCTATTGATTATATAGTGAAAAAGCAAAATTTCTTTGAAAATCTTCTTCTCTACTCCTGGTTATTATTTAAACAAATTGAATACATTGTTATGATAGGATGCCTCTTCCAAAATTGTTAAATTCATGGCCCCAGGGACAGGGGTTCTGGTGCTAGGGTGGGGCTATATAGATCCTATAGTGAAGGTGAATTATTTCTTTGAGAATTTCTCCTTTGAAAATCTTCTTCTCTGCCCCTGGGTATTATTTAAATAAACTAAATACATTGTTATGATATGCAAGGATGCCTCCTCCAAAATTGTGAATTTCAGGCTCCCAGGATCAAGGGTTCTGGGGAAAAGGGGGGGGGGGGCTCTATTGATTATATAGCGAAAAAGCAAAATTTCTTTGAAAATATTCTGGTTAAAAAGCAAAGAAGCTAAGTGTATAGTTATGATGAGCAAGAGTGCTTCTTCCAGAGTAGTGAATTTCATGACCCCCTGGGTCATATGTGCTGGTGTAAGGGTGGGGCTCTTGATAATATAGTGAAAATGCATTAATTCTATTAAATAATCCTGTCTGCTCTCAGTGTTAAGCAGACAAACAAAGTGATTACTTATGATGAGCAAACTTCTGGTCCCAGGGTGAGAGGCTCTGGTGTTTCTCAGTGGGGAGAAGGGGGGGGGGTGCTCTATTGATAATATAGTGAATATAGTGAATCTGTAGTAAAAATGCATTATTTCTTTAAAAATCTTCTCTGCACCTGGGCATATCAGAGGCAAAAAGAGTAAAAGTTTTAATAAGGAAGGGTATTCTTACCAGATTTTTGAACATCTGGACCATTTGTTCAAGTGTTCTGGTCCTGTCCAGGGCTCTATTAATTTGTATTCTACTGAGAGGAGTTATTCCCCTTTGCCATTTACTTTTGATAATTAATCACTGTAAATAATGTACTTGAAAGGTTAATAGAATAGGAGAATTATGCAAGAATTGTTATTGTATAATACAAAAAGTACTTTCTTAGTTTTAATGATCAGGTAGACATGTAAGTAGTAGATAAATAAAAATCAGACAAAAATAACTTGTCTTATGAAATGTTCATCAAAGACCAAGAGAGGTCAATGTAAGAGATTTCAACAAGGTATGAAGCACTGATAGTTTGTTAATATACTTATGGTGAGAGTGATAAATGGGGAAGAGATTAGAACCTAATTTATGAACTGTTAATGAATACTAGACTAATTATTTTGTTGATCCTGATCACCCTATTTTTCTTGCTTTTGGGCAACAAAGGTTCACCTTTTAGTTCATTTTATACTCTATGGATTCTCTAAATTGTTGTATGATACTCAGATGACCGTTAAGGCCCTTGGGCCTCTTGTTCTATTTACTATCATAATTATTAATTTATACATGATTTAATTTTACTAGTGAGAATTACACTTAAATTTTAAAAAGAATGACATTAAAACCCTGACTTTTTCAATAATAAACTATTTTTTAAATATTAGTTTTTACCCCCCCCCCCCCCCCCCCCCCCACATTTGGGCTAGTAACTTTTTACTTTGGGCTAGTAACTTTCTTGCTGCCACTAGCCCGTGGGCTAGTGCTTAATTTTTTTAATTGCACACCCCTGTGGTCAATGGATGTGCAGTGACCTTGAACGAAGTTTCTAGGTCAAGGGTCAAAAATAGCCTCTCTGTTTAAAATCTTTGTTCGGTGCATGGTTTCTTTCTCTTAAGTCCAGTCAGCCTCAAACTTTACCAATTGACTTAGGGTACAGAACATTTCTGATTTTCCTTCCATATTTTGATATGTATGTAACAGTTTTCAGAGAGGATATGCAACATTTGTGATTTTTGTGTGGATTTTTGATAGAGGGTATGGAGCACTCGTGATTTTCATGCCATTTTTTATTGTAACAAGGATGACATAGAAGCTCTTTAGACTCAAACAACACATCCCTTAATAGTACACAAGTGTTCCTCTTCAAAATAAACCCTTTTCAGCTACCTTATATTTTCATGTTCGTTGCTGAAAGCGGGGCCCTTTGAGATGGCCACCATCTCAATGATATCTAGTTTTTGTCTGTAAAGGTGCTTGATATCATTATTTCTGTCTGGACAGGTATGTGATATCAATATTTCTGTCTGGACAGGTGCTTGATATCATTATTTTTGTCTGTAAAGGTGCTTGTTATCATTATTTCTGTCTGGACAAGTACGGGATATCATTATTTCTGTGTGGACAGGTGCTTGATATCATTATTTCTATGTGGACAGGTGATTGATATCATTATTTCTGTGTGGACAGGTGATTGATATCATTATTTCTGTGTGGACAGGTGATTGATATATAATTATTTTAGTCTGGACAGGTACATGATATCATTATTTCAGTCTGGACAGGTGCTAGATATCATTATTTCAGTCTGGACAGGTGCTAGATATCATTATTTCTGTGTGGACAGGTGATTGATATAATAATTTCAGTCTGGACAGGTATGTGATATCATTATTTCAGTCTGGACAGGTTCATGATATCATTATTTCTGTATTTCTGTGTGGATAGATGATTGATATCATTATTTCAGTCTGGACAGGTAGGTGATGTCATTATTTCAGTCTGGACAGGTTCATGATATCATTATTTCTGTATTTCTGTGTGGATAGATGATTGATATCATTATTTTAGTCTGGACAGGTGCTTGATATCATTATTTAAGTCTGGACAGGTGCTTGATATCATTATTTCTGTCTGGATAGGTGCTTAAAATCATTAGTTTAGTCTGGACAGGTATGTGATATCATTATTTCTGTCTGGACAGGTGATTGATATCATTATTTCTGTCTGAACAGGTGCTTGATATCAATATTTCTGTCTGAACAGATGCTTGATATCGTTATTTTAGTCTGGACAGGTGCTTGATATCATTTTTATTGGTCTGGACAGTGATTGATGTTATTTCTGTCTGGACAGGTGCTTAATATCATTATTTCTCTCTGTACAGGTGATTTATTTCATTATTTCTGTCTGGACAGGTGCTTGATATCAATATTTCAGTCTGGACAGGTGCTTGATATCATCGTTTTTAGTCTCGACAGGTGCTTGATATCATTATTTCTGTCTGGACAGGTGCTTGATATCAATATTTCTGTCTGCACAGGTGATTGATATCATTTATTTAAGTGTAGACAGGTGCTAGATATCATTATTTCTGTCTGGACAGGTGATTGATATAATTATTTCTGTCTCGACAGGTGATTGATATCATTTATTTCTGTCTGGACAGGTGATTGATATTAATATTTCTTTCTGGACAGGTGACTGATATTATTCCATCTGGACAGTTGCTTGATATCATTATTCTTGCATTGATATTCTTGGAGTACTTTGTAAAAGAAAGTCTTCAGCTGTCGGAGAGACACAGATATACAAGTTATAATATACAGGAAGTGAAAGCTGTGTGTAATATCAATGAACAATATATTGTAGAAATTTCATAAAAGTGAAAATTGATTTTAAAATTTTATAAATTTTAGGGTGCTACAAGTGAGTATCTGAGTCGAGTTTCCCTCCTCTCCAACCCTCCCCGTGTGTTTCACGGCAGTGGAATGTCGACAGAAGCGGCCCGTGATTCGGCTTCTCTGGAAGCTCTCAAATTTTTGGAAGACCTCGGCAAAGGTGACGGGTAAGCATAAATTGTATCTACAGCACAGCTCAAAAGCCAGGCAGATATCAGTCTTATAATCATCTGGCAGATTAATACATAATTTGTTTTTCATTTAAAGTTTGACAGCAAAACCCAAAGTTGTTTTACATTCAGTACTGTACATATGAAAATTGTAATGCAAAATTTAAGTTATAATTTTGGAGAGTTACTTCCCTTCTTTAAAATTAGAAATAAATGTTAAGATAGTTGTTCAAAAATTTTTCACTAGTTCTACTTAACATTTACCACGTAATTTTATGGAGATGGGTAATTTTTAGACTCTCTGCTTATTCAGTAAACTTCTTGATAAAACATCTGCAGTTCTATATCAGAATTTGTAAAGTCTGTTTCCCAAATGTTGATTTACAAAATTAAATTGAACACACATTCACTATTTTGATAAAACAGGCAATGACTTTTTTGTCTTTCTTATTACCCTCTGCCTAATAAATCACATAGTATATGATCTTGATTTTCTTTTTAGGAAAGTCACATCAATATGAAATCTCCTACCTACATTTATTTGTTTAATCTTTTTTTATTACAGTCCACAAGTGAAAATGGAAGGAGATCTGGCCAGCACTCCCTCACCAGGTGGCGCCCAGCGCGGTGCCACCATGTAGAGGGACTTTGGTTTAAACTTTGAACTTTTCTTCATGTTGAGGGTTTTACAGAGCTTTACCTGGTTTGTGGATGATTTGAATGCCGTTATTTGTTTTTTATAGCCATGATTTTTTGGTGGTTTTTCTTTTCAAATTATCCATTTTCCAAAAATTTGTTTCTTTTTTTCTTTGAATATCAGGAAATTTGTGGATGTTAATAATTAGAAGACAGACAGTCTTCCTGTATTTATATTGTTAAATATTAATGCATAAAAACAAGTCATATTGCAGTGTATGTTATGCCAGTACTAGCTACTTGTTCTTGTGCATTAAAGCTGTAAAAATTTCCTGTCATATTTAAATTTGAGATTTTTTTAATTGTTACATTTTAAGATAAGCTGACCGCTATATTTTTGCTTTTGAAAACCCTCAAATACAATAGAATGAGTGGCTCCCTCTTCCAATAGGAATGGAATATAATTTGTTGTTTTGTCCCCCCCCCCCCCCCCAGCCTCCATTCTACATTAATAGTTCAAAGTTTAGTGTTGAATTTAACTGGATTCAATTTATCTTTTGTTCAGTCCCAAAATATTACATAAAACACATTTGATTGAAGTATGGATTTCTAACAATGCATGTAAATTAATTCAAAAACTTCCCCCACCCCTTAATTATTAAATTTGTTATTTTGGTGATTGACCTTGTTAAATTTAATCCAGGTTATGTTTATGAATATTTGTGAAGACAAATGTTAAGGAACTTACTTGAGCACAATTTTGTTAGACAGTTAGACAGTTTTCTCACAATACAAGAGACTATTTTATTTGATAAGTACATAAGCATTTACTACAAAGTGTCCTAGGACAATATTTTCACAAAAAAAAAAATGATTTAGAAAGTAAAGATTTGACTGAATCTTATTTCTCAAAACTTCCTTAGCCTTATTCTTCTCAAGCAGGTGCTTGAAGGAGTTTAACAGCTTGCTGTCTTTATTGTGAGAAAGACTGGGCTTTTTATGTCAGAGTATATCTATATGGCCCTTGAATCTGGTCCACAGCTCACAGAAAAGGGATCCATAGTTATTGTTACTAAGGGTTATGGAGGTATACCCAAACTGTGTTCGGGAGAATCCTGCTATTTGATATTTTGTTTGATGAACAGGAGGAATCTAAAAATGTTGTTCCGTAACAAGCTTCTACTTTCCAATATTTCGCCATGCATTTATACTTCATAGATAAAAACAACACCCGGGATGTTTGATCAAACTCTGTATCACTGTTGTAATTTTTATTTTCTGCATAATTAGATTGTCTTCATTTATAGTCATTTTGTTTTGTGGGGGTGTATACAAGGTTATGTGAAGGTCAAACTAAATGGTCAGTGTCTTGGTGCTATTTGATCTGACCTGACCTGTACATCGCTCACAGTTTTGTCAAAGGTAAATCAAGTATTATCAACCTCTACAATATACATGTAATTTAAATCCCATTGTTAAAAGTCTGTGTGATTTTTGTAGTAATTAACGGATTGGAGCAGTTTTCTAGGAAGTGATTTTCTCGGTAATCCAGTTTGTATATACTTGATTTATCTTTACCACTTGTGTGTTTTTCCGTTGTACGTATTGCTTTATTCATTGTCTGCAATGTAAAAACACACAGAATTTTCTGTATTCATTAAAATATTACAATATGAAACCAAGTTGCGTGCTTTGTTGTACACAAATGAAACCGGATGCCTGTGAAAATGCAAGAACTATATATAAAGCTTTAAAGGCTTTGTCACCTAAATGTGATGGAGGAACATTTCAATGTCATCGACCAGATCATATTTCTGCAACCATATCTAACATTCAGCAGGATTAGTATCAGACTGTCCTAATTCTTACCACGACGCTCAATGTTGATTTTTTTTGTTGAATGTTTTTATGTTGAATTTTTATAACTTTTCCCCCCTTTTACTTACATAGATTTAATACAAGGTTTTGAATTTTAACCTGGAGCAGAACGTTAGTTATGCTACTATGACACTAGTCTTAATTTATAGATGCTGTATGTACCATCCTTAAGTTACAATAGCAACCGTTCCTGTCTCAGAAACTCGAGAGGACTTGTTATATGCAGTTCTCTTATTTTACTGACTGCGGAAAATTCTTCAAAATACATATCTCATGGGTACCAGTTGCACCCTGTTATTAGCAGATCTATTTTAGTATTCATATGAAGAATTTATTCAAAGTCTTATAAATGAGAAGAAAATAATTGTTGTGGTCTTCAACTTTCGACATAGTTTTAGATATATCGACGACGTATTAATCAATTAGCAATACTTGCTTCCATTCATATGTCGACTCAGTATATCCCAGTGAGCTTGAAATAAAAGATACCACAGAGTCTGGCACATCTGTTTCATATTGGATATTTTACTAGAAAAAGATTTTAATGGTAACCTAACAACAAAGCTTTATGAAAACGTGATGACTTCAATTCTTCCCTTACTTATGTAGCAATATGCCCTTGTCACCTGCATTAGCGGTTTATGTCTTTCAGTTGATTCGATACGCAAGAAAGAGCATGCTCTTCGTACGAACAATTTCTAAAACGCGACAAGCTTTTGACAAACAAGTTGATGAAACGAATATCAACAGTCTCGTTTAAAATCATCATTTCGCAAGTTCTATGGTCGATACAATGACGCCGGCAAATACAATTTATCATCAAGTCAAAATCTGACTGAAGTTTTTAATACTAATCGTTAAGCCATTATTTACAAAAATTGTACACGGATTTTTCGTTTTCCCGATCATGACAAGGAGTACACGGCGGGTGCGACCGGTCGGTAGGGGATGCTCACTACTCCATGACACCTGATCCCACCTCTGATGTTTTAGAGGTCTGTGTTTGCTCTGCTTATGATTTGTATTCTTTGAATGCTTTATAAGCTAGAATACTGTTCGTTATCCTCATATTTCATTCCCCTGACAGCTTCTGTGCTCTCTTGATAAATCTGATTTTTATTTTTTAGAGACACTTCGAGACAAAAAGCGAAAACAGGAGAGCTTTACGTACAAGTATTTTAATATTCTATGAGGGCAGGCATCCTTTGGCCTCAGATATAATGTAATTACCATGTTAATTTTGAATTTACTATAGGTGGAGGTAAATGCAAAATTTACATGATAACTCGTTAATATTACCCGCACCTTGTTCAAAAACATGTTTATTTGGACTTCCGGAAAGTTGGGTATTGTATAGATTTCTGTACATCTTGAGAATTACTTAGTTTTGTGGGGGAAAATGTCACTTTTGTAATCAGATTTAGTTCTCATTAACCCTGATCAAAAATGAATCCCAAGGAAAGTATTTTAAAAAATGTATTATGAAGTTCAAACTATAATAAACATTGATAAAGGACAAGATAGGCTAAGACCCCTTGTTGGCCCCAGGTTTGGGGTATCTCTTAAAAAGATGCAGTTCATAATCAAAAACCTTTTTTCATCCCTTTTATAAATGAATGTTAATTCTAGGTGATAGGATACACAGAGGTCATGATACTGAGTATTTGTAAATTTCCGAATTTTCTCATTTTTTATTCAAATTTTCGTCAATTTAAAAGCACATTTTGTTTCAGAAAACACACAGCACAAGCTTACCTATCCATCAAATTTATATCTTTCATGCACAATTTAGTACCAGATGCATCTTATGTGAAATATGTCAGATATACAGCTTTTGCTCTATGTTTCCCGAACTTCTCAAATTTTACAAAATTCCATCAGAATGCGGGAAATTCGGTAAAATATTCTACTTTGTCACCCTCTTATGGCCTCTGTGTAAGATTCGAATCGAAATTAATGCTGGTTTTTAAAACAAACATCATTTTAAGTTCTTAATTGCAAACTGTCACAATTTTAACTGTGTTTTGAATCACATAAGGGGCCTTATTTAACCTTTACCATAACAAAAAGAAAACGATACCTCATCCCCCTTGATTTGAGCGTATAATTTGGTAAATTCAAATAATAATTGATATGAAAGCAGTTAAAGAATACACAAAAATAAATATAAAAAAATACTATAAGCTCAATCAAATAATAATAATTGAAAAGCAGAAGACTAAAAACTTGGGACCAAATCAACAGGAAAGGTTTCTGATATAAAAACACTTTTCCTGTTAAAACAATCCCAAACATCTTCTGTACTCTGTATCCTGATTGACAGGTCACATCCACAACCTTATGTACTATGCATCCCGATTGGCAGATCACATCCACCATGCATCCTCTGTATTCTGATTGGCAGGCCACTTCCAACATCTTCAGTGCGCCGCATCCTGATTGGTAGATCACATCCACAACCTTATGTATTCTGATTGGCAGATCACATCTACCATCTTCTGTACTCTGTATCCTGATTGGTAGATCATACCCACCACACCCTCCTTTGGTGAGTGAGTGAACCAGTGCTTATTGGTGGAACATTTGTCCAGTGGGAGATCGGTGGAGCACCAGTCCCGCTCTAATTGGTTGCCGATTTTTGACTCCAGCGCTGACTGGTCAGACATTATGCGGATGAATGTTTACCCGGTGATGGAAGTAAAGCATCATCAGACCGAGTAATCACCATCCGCACAAAATCCAAAAATACACCACTCCCTGTAATAGGCTGGTGGTTGTTTCCCCATCGTTCTTTCCTCTGTCTACCATAAAATGTGCTATTAAACAAATCGAACTATTTTAAACCACAACACAATTTTCTTTTTCTCTCTTCCAATTTTAGCCATACATAAGTCCTTCATTCTAAATAAATTCATCAAAACACTTCGGAAAAAGAATTAGACATCAAATACTTTACCTGTGCATATCAATAAAATCATTGCTAGGTCATTATGATACTAAGAAGATTGCATCTGTCTGATGTGGAGCGAAAAAGCTGTCCCCCTGCTCGGTACCTAAATCATGGACACCATGACGTCATTTCACCCACTTATACTCACTGAATCTCAGCTACAGACAACTTGACTTCATGCCCTTCCCCCATACTCACTGAATCTCAGCTACAGACAATTTGACTTCATGCCCTTCCCCCCATACTCACTGAATCTCAGCTCTGGGCCCCTTGACTTCATGCGCTTTTCCCAAACTCACTGAATCTCAGCTCTTGACTTCATGCCCTTTTCCCCCATACTCACTGAATCTCACCTCTGGACACCTTGACTTCATGCCCTTCCCCCCAAACTCACTGAATCTCAGCTCCAGACGACGTTATGTCACTCAGACACCTTGACCGCTCCATGATACCTGAACCCTCAACCCCTTATGCCTTGAACATCGCTGTGAGAGATTTTGATACAGTATATTTTTATGCTCCTACATTCAACATATTTTTTTTTATTGTAATTTGAACTTTTTAAATAAGCCTTAACTACCACGGGATTTAGTGATAAAAGATCGATTTTACAAACACTACTATGAGGTACTAATTCAGGTTGTTAAAGAAGAATTCGTTGTCCCTGTTTTACATATATCACCCCTGTCGACCTAGGTAGGAAGTCTCGTATCAAGGATATTTTCACTACTGCAGGTAATCCACTTTATTATAAAATGCCATTGTTTTAAGAGTCAAAACTTACTCCCTACATATAGTTGTGTATTTACAACTGTTTCTATTCATTGTAGACTAGCCTCTAAAATTTAGGATCAACCGAAGAAAGCACGTAACAGTGAGTTTTGTAAATTTTGATTGTTAACAATTTTTGATTAGTTTCTGTAATTGATGCTAGTATAATTATGCACAATTTAAAAAATCGGACTTCTTACATTCCCTTAGAAACTGTGTGTGCAGTACGAACTCGGTTTACAGAGTGGGTATTGAGACCTGAGATTTATTGTTTGCAAATCATAGAACATGCATGTTTTGAAGTCAGCACTCCGCGTTCAAGGTCCATATAGAGGACCGGTGTTATATAAGGAAACTTCCCCCATAGTGAGACTTCCCCCTGAAAGACTAGCTATATAGTAACCCCCCCCCCCTCCCCACCTAGGGAAGGAGAGTGGCTGTGTAGCTGGTCATCCTCCCTTGTAAACCATAATGAGGCTTCCTCCTTACGTGTTTGGTGTATATTTTATTCATATCATCGACGTATTATATATAATTATTTGCGCCATGAGCCATTTAATATACTCGAGTCAAAGAATGAGGATGAGGGTGCATTTGATTTGGATCTCGGCGCACTTGAAAAGTGAAAATTTCTCTGATCCGTTGGTCACATGATATTTTTGCATGCCATTGATATAGGGTTTCTGTGATATAAGAAAGGGAAATATTTTCTAGGTATAGTGTTTTGATTTGTTAAAAGATGCTTCAAAATATGGCTAGATGAGTCATTGGTGCAAAATGTTACATTTTTAAAATGTTTTTCTTAAAAATTTGCCATCACTGGGTCATCTTTAAACGATTGCAAAGTGTTATTTGTGTGCATTTTAAGACATCAAACCACACTATAGCCATAAAGTACGATCTTCTCCCAACCTGGAGAGCAAGACAGGGACTCAGGACCTTGGCTTGAGACGATGAACAAAACGAGCGAACATTTGTTAAAAAATGGAGAGAAGAAACAGGGACCATAGAAATGCATGAATTTAAAAAAACACAATGTGTAAATGCGCTGCTTCATTGTCTTCATAAAGTGAGACTTC